AGGCGGCGCACTGCTTGTGGCCGCCTGACAGTTAGCCCGGACCACTTCTCGACGCCCCCGTCGAGCCCTGGCAACTTTCGTCAGACGAAGCGGATGAGCTTCAGGAGGATGGCCCGTAAAGGTCGCCCACGTCGGCGTTCAATTGTCTTATGTTTCAGTTTGTTATGAGTCCTGGGGCTAAGAAGATGCTTCTTGACTCTCCTGTTTCTTCTGGTTTTTTGCCCCTGCACGATCCTCTTTTTCTTCCATCTTTGCCCCGAGAAGGGTGTCGACCCACCAGTACGTCTAACCCGAACTCTACGTCTAGCTCTCTTGAGCACGAATAACCATCTCTTCTTTCTTCCTAAAGCTAACCCTCTGACCTTTCTCTTCTCTATTCTTTTCCTTTTCTTGGAACTCTCCCCTGCCTCGAATTGCCTCAAGGRGGCTTCATCCTCCACCATGGCTTTCCCTTTCCCTTTCGGGCTGGTTAGCGATAAAGCGGGCGTGGGCCTGAGCCTAAACAGCTTTAACCTAGCGCCCGCCACTGGGTCCTTCCACTTAGATCCATCCAATTCTGCTATCATATATGCTCCCCAGTCGAGTGCCTCAACCACTTTGTAAGGTCTCATCCATCTGTTGGCGAGTTTTCCGGTCCAGCTTCTTTCTAGCGCTGCATCATAAAGAAGGACCATATCTCCTACGTTCACCCTCTCTTTCCTAATTCGCACGTTCTTATCCCATCTCTCTTTACCCTTGTACCTTTCTACTACCAGACGATATGCCGCTGTCATGAGGTCATCTTCCAAACCGTAGGCTATTTGTCTCGTTCGGGCAACTAAGAGTTCCTCTCTGGACATCTCCTCCGCCTAGTCGACGGTTGTCCAGCTGTCGACGTGAAACTCTATGGGAAGCGGACAATATCGCCCAAACCACAAGGTGTACAGGGGGTATCCGGTACTAGCCCGGACCGTGACGTTGTCCGCCCATATTGCGTATCGAAAATATCGTGGCCAATTACTGTCCTTACCCTTGCACCACTTGGACAGTGACGCTATCAGAGTCTGGTGTCCCCTCTCTACTGCGGAGTTCGACTGTGGGTGATAGGCGGTGGCTATCGAAACTCTCGCACCGGCTCTCCTAAACACGCTCTG